GTTGGAATTTTTTTACAAAAGCTTATTAATACCTGTAATATATACACAAAAACTGCATAAAATTGAATGCTGACAAAACCGAGTTCATACTTACCGGAAAAAAGCAAATTAAAAACCGCACAATATCGAACAAATAAAACTTCACGATAAATTAAGTCATCTAGGCTTTATATGGGACACCTTTCCTAAAATCCGGGAAGTAATCCAAACTTTAATTCAATCTGGAATCCGTTTTGTTCACCCAAATTCCTTTGTCCAGTTATATAAAACTTTGGTTGTTCCACTACCTTATGGTCTAAGCTTTGTGAACATAAAAAAATATTAATGCAAAAGCTTGATATAGTTGGAAGAAACGCACTGAAGTCACTCCTTAACGTTTTAAAACATTGCATAAATTTTATTCATCCCTTATTTTTTATTTTATATCATAAAAAAAGACTTGTGGAATTGTTCCACAAGTCTTTTTTTATGTAATAACTGAGATATCTGATGTGTTGCAAAACTCAACACTTTTGACTTTACATCAAAAAGAGGATATCATTACTTGCATTAAAAAGCGTGAAGACTTTGTTGTAAGACCGATACACTTTGCAGCAAATTTACCTGATCCAAGATTTGTTGGTCAAAAGTTAAATCATTCAGAAATGCTTTTAGCTGAGCAGCATGTATTCAGAACAGCTGAAAATGAAACACTAGCCACTGATATAATATTGGATGAATTAATGAGTATCAAAGCTTGTAGTGGAATATTTAGCCAGGATAATCGCAGCTATATTTGGAAGCTTAATGAAGATTGTATTAAATGAAGATTAATGAAGATACTGACGCTGCATCACTCTCTGATTCCAAAATGGCTTCTGATATAGGTTTCAGAAGTTTGAAAATTAAATCCGTCTTTTTCCAAAAGGTTTCATTCAATACTAATTCCTTTAAGTCAATTCCTTTTTTATTATTTTGTTTGTCAAGATACTTTTGTGCTTTTTCATCAGTTACTGCCAGTCGCAATGAATCATGGAGTAGAATATTGCGTTGTAACATAAAATTGTGATGACCATCTTGTTACTACAAGAAGAATTAAAATAAAACTTTTATTCAAGGAGTGTAGGCTACAACGCTCAACAATACTTTTTAGATTGTGCTTACTTTTAAAAAACTTAACTAGTTGTTTATTTTGTTTCAGTGTTTCCGAAATTATTTTGTTCTTATTTGCAAGATCACAAGCTAAAAATTTAGGCCATGAGAAAAACAGCCATATGCTGACATCCAATCATATTTATTTTCTATTAATTTCCAAACTGCTACCATGTTAGCTGCATTGTCAGTGCAAAAAGCTTTTCTTTTTCTTTTGTTTGATATAACATTTTTATCTTCAATAATCTCAACAATTTGATTGAATATGTATTGTCCAGTATGGGAGTTTTCTTTTGGATGAATACTTCTGATGTATATTGGAGTTGGAGTAGCTAACATAATCTGTATATGTGAATCATTACTTATACAAGACCAACCATCTGTCATCAGAACAAAAGTTTCTGACTGGGATATAAAATTTATTTGTATGAATTTATTTACTTGGTTATATACTGTGTCTAAAAGATTATGACTCAGGGCATAACGATTGGGAGGTGACCAACCTGGTCGAATCTTTTTGAAAAAATTAGTCCAGAATGAATTTTCCGACATTCTGAAAGGGCTGGCTGTTGCATAAATTGCTCTTGCATATTGTATATTTATTTCATCACACTCTTGTGTTGAAACTTTATCAAAAAAATATGATATTGATTTTTGATTGCTAGTATATATAGAAGTTGAACAGAAAGCCTTTTTTTCTTCTAAAATATTTGATAAAGAACATTCTTGTAAATCAGAATGTAATTCGTTATTAGCCACATTCATTGTGGAACTGGTTCCTGACTTTCTCTTAAAGATGGCATAATTGTTGTCACAGCAATCAATAAAACAATCATTTTCTATTATTAAATCTGACACACCTGCATTATTTGTTGTATTTGTGTTGAGTTCAATTAAAGATTTAACTAATAATATTCCGTTTTTTGTTTTAGGAGCAAAACTTTGTTTCATAACATCTGTTGCAAACTTTTTTTTTACAGCTTTTGGAGATTTAGTACAATCTGTAACTAAATGTTTTTTAGCTCGTGTAGAGTTTTGTGTGCAAAATTTTGCATTGCAATATGTGCAAATAAATGCTGTCTTCCCATATTGACATATTTTTTTTCTAAAGTGACCATTCCAGACTTGATCTAATTCTCTAGGCATAATTATTGCTAAAAAAATTTTTACAGTACAAAAATAAATGAGAATAATTTAAAATGTATACTTAGTTTAGAAAAGCAGTTCATACCAACTGCAAATCTAATAAATAATAAATTATTTAATTCAACACTAATTTATTATTATCATTATAGCTATAGTACTAATATACCTATAAAGTATTTTTGTAATGTTTTTATTGTTATTATTTCAAAAAGAGTAAAAAACTTATTTAATTATATAACATATATAATGGCAAGTTATTTGTTGTTTCTCTTGTATCACCTATTCTTTGGTTTAGGTTGACAGCTTTATATAAATCATTAAAAAATGTCAAAAAGGAATGTTTGTGTAGCAATCATTTCAGATACTATAAAGTTATGCATCTATAATATTATAAAGTTTTAATACTACTTAAAATACTGTAAAGTTATACACCAAAAAATTAATAATATTGCACTTTTACCAATTCATAATATTCTATAAAATAAATAAGTAAATAAGTTATTTACTTATCTATTTTATTTAAAAAAGCTGTTAGTATTTTAATTTATAACCATATTTTTATAATCATCATCATCATCATCATCATCATCATCATCATCATCATCATCATCATCATCATCATCATCATCATCATCATCATCATCATCATCATCACCATTGTTATAATAATTGTTGTTGTTGTAATTATTATTTTTACCATTATTACCATTAGATTTACTTTAGAACTACTTACTAATATTATTAGTGAATACCTAGGTAATTATTTCTGAAATTTATTAGTTTATTTATATAAACCTTCTTTATTAAAACAGTAAAATTATGGTAAACATATAAAAATAATCAGAGAAGCCCTGAAATTTTTTTTTTTAACAAGTATTTGAAAATTTCCAAAATTTCCAAAATTTCCGGAAATTTTCCGTAAATTTTACGTAAATTTTCCCGACTTTAAAATTTCCGGGAAATTTTCAACCCTGGGATAGAAAATTGTTTTCTTTGCTTGAACACATTTCTTGTTATTATTTATATAACAATTTTAGTAAAATCTTGTTTTTAGTAGATTTTGTAGCAGTATAATTTTTTTTTCCAAAATGCAAATAATATTACTTCTCACAGTAAATTTTTTGTGATCTGAAGAAGTTAGTATTATAAGTTTAGTTTTCTTTAATATAATAACAACGCATTTTTATCAAGAAAAAGCATCGAAAAGAAGGCATTTTTATAAAGGGATAGTAGAGATATTGATGTAGATTTTACATGTGAAGATAAAACATTGTGACAATGCAATTCAAAACATTATTTCCTTCATTTTTGACTTGATATTTTATTTTTATAACATCTCTCTGGAATTTCTAATTTTCTAGGTTTATGACAATAACTGTTTTGTGTTCATTTTTTTAAAAGCAAGGCGTACTGATATATGTTTTGATTTGGTTAGACAGGGTCATAGAAAATAAGCCTTTTACTTTGACAATATCATTTTTGAACTCATGATATTTTTTCCTTTGCTTCATGAAAGTTTTTATAAATAATAATAATAAAAGGACATATCAACATTTTTTGAAACCAATAATTCAAAAATAACATTATTGAAACCAGTAATTCAAAATAAAATATCGATGGAATCTTATTTTTAAATAAAACTACAGCAGGAAGAATTTTTCTCCATAAGATTTATATAACTAACAAGCAACGTGAACATCAGGTGAACTAAAATCTGTTTTAAAAGTCACAGTTTTTCTGGCTGTCCTAAACTGGTTTTTCTTATAATCAAAGTATAACTTTTAAAAATATATGAAGTTACAGAATGATACATTGAGTCTTCTTTGATTAAAGAGATAGTTGAAGGCGGGATGCTTGTAGAATCCAAGAAAACTTCGACTACAAAACGTCATTATGCTTTTTATTTTGGTTTTTATGTACGGAAAGGATAATATTTAAACTTATATATTCTGATCCGCAACTCGTGTAAGGTGCAATTTGTAGATGAGCAATGGTCTAAAAATCATTTTTTATTTATTTAAAATTATCCATTGTATCTTCTTAATTGAAAAGAACATTCTTTTAACAACTGAGATTGGTTTTGTTTATGAGCATTTATCCCCTATAAAAATGGCGTCGAAATCTTATATGCCTAAACCACCCCTTATGAAAGTCCGTAATTATTGAGGAATAATTATTGGGTATCTAAATGAGAAGCTTAAATTTTCAAACGTTATGTTGAATTTAAAAAAAATTCTAATTGTGGTAAAAAAATCGTAACTATTATAATTATTAACAAAAAGATCTTTAAAATTTTCTTTTAAATTCCTATTATATGGTTGTTGATATTGTTAAATTGTTATACAACAAAAAATGATTTTAAACTTAAAAATAAATTTTTAAAATTTTTAGATGACTGTTACTCGCCAATTGATAATGCTATCCGGGCTAACTCCAACGGGTGGGTACCCGGGTGGCCAGGTACCCTTTACTTATAGAAACTGATTTGCGGGTCCGATAGAAGCAGGTTAACCGTATGTTAATTTTGAAAACTATGACGTCGTCAGTACGCTTAATTTATGTGTTTTAATTTAAAAATTGTAGGTTTATTTACAATGTTTTTAATGTAATAAATAGTTTGTTACCTAAATATTATACGAGTTATTATTGCTAATAAATTTTTATTGTATTAGTGACTTAACCAAAATAAATTTGACTAAATACTTTTTAAATTTTTTACTTCTTCGTAGTGTAAAGTAGTGTAACTCACATCACTGTTTTCATAGTTAAATCATTGTTAAAAAAATGATTACTCCTGATATTTCTGTATATCATACTGATCTTGCACCAGATGGAAGTAAAATAGGTAAATAATAAATATATTTATTTTTATCTAACTTTTTTCAGCTTTTTTTTTTTTAACACATAAACAATTTGAAAAAAATATATACGATAATTTAATTAATACAATTGCTTAACCTACAATTACTACAAAGACAAGACTGATTAAAAGGTCTACTGAATAGAAGAATGAAAACAAATCTTCTAATAAATATCCATTAAAAACAAATTTTTTAATTATTTTAGTGTTAAAAATAAAAAAATAAATATAAAAAAATAAAAAAAATTTAATAATTCTTAAAAAAACAATGGTTAACCTAGTTTACGGAACTGCAAATACATTTCAATCAAATACAAATAATTCAGGAATTTTTTATCAAATACAATACAAATACACTTTTTTATTAAATACAATACGAATACAATACAAATACATTTTTTAAATCATTTTTTCAGTCAATTTCTTCAAAATTATTTATTTAAAAAATTCATGAGGGAGAAATGCTCCTGCTGCCCACCCGGTTGCTATGGTCCTGGGTTTTGGTTTTTATCAGCAGCTCTCAAGAGGCTGTCCATTATTTATGTCAACAATTATTTGGCAATTTATTTCACACCCCTCACCCTTGTCAACTTACTTCCAAAGGCCCCTTCTATAAAATTACTTGTTAAACTTCAAAAGACCTCTTCTATAAAATTACTTTAAAATTTGACCTCTTCCCCTCTCCCTTGCCAACAATTTTCAAAATTTTGTAGACCCTGCTCCCCATATTTTGTTGATGTAATAAATGGACACCCCTAAAGTGTATGATTTTTAAAGATAACCATTTTTGTACTAAAACACTATATGATAAAAATCAAATTGTTGAGCCAATTATATTTTAATTTTCAGAAGATTCAGAAACAAGTTTGAAAGTGAGAAAAATTCACTCAAGTTTCAAAAAAATTGTTGTAAAAATTGTTAATAACTTGAAAATTTTTGATTCAAAAGAATTGGATTGTTCTACTTCAAGTTTAAGTTGTAGTACTTAAAATAAAATTTTAGTTATTCTGAAATCACAAATATTGTTAAAAATAATTTTATATCAAAGTATTGAGTAACCCAATACTTTTTTGATAAATAATTTGTAACATTTTTTTAATTATAAAACTGTTTATTTTTGTGTTATTTTCCAGGAGTCATCATGACTCGGCTCGAAACAAAACTTATTGAAATTCGTGCTTACCGAGTGAACTGGGAGTCATACCTACAAGGTGACTTGATTCAGAAATCAGACTACCAATTTATAAATCATTATTACCAACAAAACAGTCAAGAAAGAGAAAAGTTGTTTCAGCAAGATCCCGACCAGGTAATATAAATTCAGTGAATTTAAATCTAAAAAAAAAAATCACAAATTTAAACTCCAACTCCGACTCCAATTGTTAAAATTTTTAGAGTATGACTCCAACTCCAACTATTTTTTAAAAATATGATGTGATAATCAGAAAAAATTTTTTTCAAAATTTTTTTTGAAGATTTAATATTTTGTACATGCAGATGCAATACGGAGAAGTTTTACTATTGGAGTCAGTGTCACAATTTTGTTTAGTGACTCTGACTCTTCTAAAAATGTTGTGACTCAAACTCCACAACTCTGACTCTGACTCCACAGCCCTGATTTGCATGTGTCAATAAATTTAATTTACTCTGACTGTTAATGTCTTTTTTAATATAAATCTAGATTTCTTAAGAATTATTTACTTCTGCTTTTTTTTAATACATTATTAAAGATAAATTTATTATTATTTTTGGGTAATTCCACATCTAATCACCCAGTCCATTGAACCATGTGTCTTCTTTTTGTGTTATATTTTGACACATGATTCACGATTATAAAAAAATGTTGGATGCAAAATTTCAGCTAAAAATGATGAGTGATTTTCAAGATACTTCAATTTTAATATTGACCTGGTTTCCCAAAATGAACCAGATTTCATAACATTCTAAAAAAATGTTTTATTTAAAAAAAGAAATAAATATTGCAAAAATATGAAAATAAACATACATAATGTTTTTTGCTGCTGAATTCAATAAATGTACTTAAAATATTGAAATAATAAAAGAACATGCTTAAAAGTTAATAAAACTACTAGTTTTATTAACTTTTAAGCATGTTCTTTTAATATTTCAATATTTTCTATAAACCAACTTTGGGGCCCAATATCTCAAAACACACCTTTCTAATTTTTGCTATAAATGTTTTCAGCAGCTTATAATCCTAGCTTATAGTTAAGCACAAAAAATCTAATTGGAGAAACAACTGAAACGTATAAAACTTTAATTTCAAAGTTATATCACTTTTTCAAGAAATTTCAAAAAATTATTTGTAAATAATTTAATTGTTATTTAAAAAATTGCTTAAATATACAAGTTTTTTAAAAGTGTTGAAGATGTAAGTTATTTTGACTGTGTTTGTAATAGTTCACGATATTGTTGACATTTTACTTGTACTTCTTTAATTTCAGCATTTTTAAACACATAGTTTCTAAGGGTAGGTATGTGGATTGAAAATTTTAAATTGATCAAAGGTTAGATTGTTATATATCATTAGAAAGTGCTTCAATACAGTATTTCAAAGGTGAAAAAATTATTAAAATCGGACTATTGTACAAAAAGTTATGACGTTTTTAGTCGCAAATTTTTGATATATGGATTTGTTGAAGAAACTGTGGTCAAAATTTAATTTTTCTTTACTTAAATTGTTATAACTTTGTTAATTCTTGTCTAAATACCTATAACTTAGTATCAAAAGATAGGTGTAACTGTGGGCTACACATTTATAACATCGTCCACCTATTAGGCGTTTCCTGGGGGCTAGAGGGGGTGCCGAACCACCACCTTTACCCTAAAAATAAGCATATTTCTTTCAATAAAAAGTGTTTTTTTTCAACTAACGGTTATTTTTTTGTACAAAAAATTGCTATAATTTTATTCCAGACCATCAATGATTGATGTTTATTAAAGTTGGTGGTGGATATGGTGGTGATGGTTTAACACACCTTAATTTCAAAAATATTAAATTCTCTAATTATAAATAAATATTTCTATATTTAATAAAATAAGTGAAACTAGTATACAGTATAAAAAACATAAAAATTTTTTTTGCTACAAGAAATTCATTTATTGGTGGTGTGCTTATTGACTTGTGGGAGGGGCGTGTGCCCAACCTAAAAAAATAAATAAGTAAAATAAATAAATCTTTATAATAACATTTATAATTATTTTAAAATAAGTTAACAATTTAAAACCTGAATTAGGCTTTTTGCACCAAGTATAACCTACAAGCTAAAGATAAAGACCACAACTGAGCCTACTTTTGAAAAAAAAGTCTTTTTGCTGCTATTCGTAAATTTTGGTTAAGTTGAGAAGTTTGTTAAATAGGGTGGTAATGGTTACCCACAACCTACAATAAAAAGATGTTGAATTCTTAAAAATAATTGTATCTTTAACAAACAAAATAAATTAGTATATTTCATTTTTTGATATTTCATTAAATATATTTTATTTCATTACCAAATATATCAGTGTTGTATCCTATAAAAAAATGTAACAATCAATTTTATATTGTTCTGTATTAAAACATTTTAGATATCCTAAGTTTAAATAGTTGTCTTAGCTTTTAGTTAATAATTAAAATAGTCAATTTCATAAATGGAACACTATAATAATCATTTGTAACAATAGACACCACGTGAAGATAAGCCAGAGCTGCCTATCAAAATATTTTGCAAGTCACAACACTTGTGCAAAGGTCATTCCAAGTCAAATACTTTTATTCTTTTCTAAAAACATTTATAAAAAAAAGTAAAACAAAAACATATGGTTTAATACCAGGCATACCTGACTTGATATGACTACTTCTTCAAGTTATATTACTTACAATACCTTTATACAAGTTTCATCATATGCCGTATCTGTTTTGTAAGTTTTATCACTTGCAGTATCTATTTTTAAAGCTTCATTACAAGTAATATCATAAGTTGTTACATATTACACTTCAAAAAAAATCAACTCTCCTAGTCCAACATCAGCGGAAGCTGATATTTTTTCATGTTGTAGTCAACAGCTTCAGTATCAGTAATACCTTTATTCCAGTAAGAAATTGTGCAAACTTTGTCTTGTTTTGTTTTATCAAGTTTTTCTTCTCTACCATCATACATGACATACTTCGAATACTTACTATTGTACCATTCATGGCAAAGTTTTTGCCCAACAATTCTATCTGACATTACATTATCTTAGTCATGACGTTGTTTGATAGACAATGTATTTAAACACTTTATTTCATTGTAAAAGAGTTCAAGCAACTGTTATTTTAACTTTCTTTTGTCTTTTTCATCCATTTTTTGGCATTTGCATACATGTTTTTTTGAAATATCTGCTCATATATCATTATGCTTCATTTGATTTATCATCTCTTTTTATGGGTTTCTGAATAGATCACATAACTATATTTTTATGGGTTTCTGAATAGACCACATAACTATATTTTTATGGGTTTCTAAATAGACCACATAACTATATTTTTATGGGTTTCTGAATTGACCACATAACTATATTTTTATGGGTTTCTGAATCGACCACATAACTATATTTTCTCTAGATAATTGATCTAAACTTTCTAGGTAATTTAATTTGTATGAAACATAACAAACTGTTGCATTAGGTGATCTTTCTTCAGCCTCACTAAACATTCCCATTAACTCTTCACTATTTATATCGTGCTGCCTTGCACATGCTACTTCCTCCTTGAGAGTCTGGTTAATAGAAAGTGAGAAATATCTCTTACATTGATGAGTTATGACGTCTCCTACTGCAATAAGACAAGCAAAAGTCATATTAATAAAGTGTTCATCAATCAAACAAAACATTTTTTATTGGATCTAAAATATTTGGTTCAAGGTCATTTTAAAAAGTGAACCTGGATTTGATTTAGAATCTGCAATTTTTAGTAAAATATTTTTTAATACCAGGATTCCACTATAATGGTCAAAATTTGCCTCCTCAACAGTCACACAAAATTTTGTCATCCAGGCTGGAAACTGGATGACAAAGTTTTATGTGACTTTGAGGAGGTGGTTTTCCAAATAATGCAAGCACACATTTTTGCTTTAGAGCTGTTTTGCTACAAAATACTGCTCTAAGAACTTTTTGTATAGTTCTGCATATTACTGTTCCAATGGTTAAAAAATGCTCAAACTCATTAAATGTTTTATAAAAATAAAACAAGTATGAAAATAAATATGAAGACGATTTCCTCGATACCTTGGAATGATACCTTGTGGCAGTTTTTGATCATCTAAAAACTAACGAATCTTTTTGAATCACCTTTGCCATGTTTAAACCTCAACTTGTTCATAGCCAAAACTATTTTAAATGCCATACAATCATACCCAGCCATGAGGTAGCAATTATATCAAGAGCGTGTAAATGGCAGTTTAGTTCATTCAAACTTTCCCCTTAAATGTCACACAGTTTGCTTATGGTAAGATGGTTAATTGCAACTTTGGCTGACATTGCGTTTGATATATTTGAGATGATTGATTGATCACTATCATTAAAAGATGCTAAATGAAAATCTAAATAAAAGTTAGATGATCAACTGCTTTACATATATGCAAGCAAATATTCGTAACTAGCTATAAGCATTTTATTTGCCTTAATAATATGTACAACTTTAACTTATTTTAGCTTTTAAAGTTCTGAAATTTTCATTGCTTTTTTTTAAGCTTTAAGATTGCATATTATCTTGCTGTAATAATATGTTTGCAAATTTTGTTTAAGATCTCTAAGTTCAGCTCTTAAAATTTTAACAATTTGTTTCTTATATGTAATTTTTGTCTCAGTACTTTCAACTTGTATGCCATGCTTTTTAATTTTGCCGTCACTATTACTAATTTATTTCAATACTTGCTGGATGTAACAGCAAGCTGAGAAGTTAAATAGGACAATCTGGTATTCAAACCTTTTTTTTCTAGGGCTTATTTCTCCTCTTGATTCATGCCTATTCATTGTTAACAGAATGTTTGGAAAATAAAGGCTTGTGATTTAGTGGTGATAAATTACTTATGTGCTCAAGTGGTGAATTATCTAAACTACTTAAAACAGTAGTAAGAGAACTACTTGGAGGGACATGATGATAGAAAGATGGGAAAGATTTGTGCAATGCATATACAGGGTTCATTACAAAATTCCTTAAAACGACAACTATCCCTTGTAAAGTTGCAAAACCAACTTTTGCATCTTTTCAAAACCCTAAAGAAATGTGGTTTACAAATGTTTACATGTTTACAAATGTTTACAAATGTGGTTTACAAATGGTTTACAAATGTTTACAGTGTAACAAATGACTTGACACTGTTAATGAATAAAAAAGATACATATCTATTTTTACAACAACTGCAAGTTTTGGCAGATAAAAAGAAGTGTGTATTTAAATACTCTTTAACTGTACTAAGAACAAAAATTAAAGTTGCTTATTGTGCCTATTGCCGGGGCACAAAAAGCAACTTTATTTACAAAACAAAATGTAAAGAAAGTCTTGAATAACTACCGAATAATGATATAACATTAAATTATAAACAATATTATACTTTTATTATTAAAAACATTTTCAATAATACTGTATTATTGCGTAATTAAAAAATAATATTTATACACACAGACAAAAATGCCAATGTATACTGACATCATAAAACATGTGATAATATAAAGAGTTTTTAAAATACCATCATACCTATAGCTAGAATTATAGTAATCAACGCTTATGTTTACAATTTCAATGAAACCAATAAAATTTTAGAAACTATAAACAAGTCAGACTAAAATAAATAGTAATTTTCACTTTTAAAATAAAATAAACTAGTAAAAATATACAAACTAATATTAATTAATATAAAAAATCTAATAAACTACTGAAAAAATAAGAAAAAGAAAAAAACATCTTATTGGCAGTCTATATCTAATTGTATTAATATATATATACATATATATATATATATATATATATATATATATATATATATATATATATATATATATATATATATATATATATATATATATATATATATATATATATATATATATATATATGTATATATATATTATTATTACTATTATTATTATTATTATTATTATTATTATTATTATTATTATTATTATTATTATTATTATTATTATTATTATTATATATATATATATATAATTATATATATATATATATATATATATATATTATATATGAAATATATATATATATATATTTTTTTTTTTGCAGTAATTTATTAGATTTTTTATATTAATTAATATTAGTTTGTATATTTTTACTAATTTATTTTATTAAAAAAAAAAACATGTATATATATATATATATATACATGTATATATATATATATATATATATATAATTTATACATATATACATATATATATATATATATATATATATATATATATATATATATATATATATATATATATATATACATGTATATATATATATATACATATACACACACATATATATATATATATATATATATATATATATATATATATATATATATATATATATATATATATATATATATATATATATATATATTATACATATAACATAAATAATTACTAAACTAACCAAATAAAATTCAACTTGTTTGTACCCCTCTTACCACCCACTTACGGAAATCAGAAAAACAGAAATGAGGTACCAAAACTGCTCACTTTTATAGACTATCTGCTCAATAATATTTTTCAATGAAATTTGGTAGGTAGATAAAAAATATATGTAAAAAACTATCTGGGTAGGTTTGCAAACTATCTGAGCATTTCTTTGACAATAATTTAATGTGAGAACAACAACCAAGTTTTTAATACAAATAAAAGCAATACAAAAATTACCAACCGCACATAAATGTTATATATTAATCAAGTTTAACTATTCTTTTTTTCAAAAATAATCTAAGTTTAGTAATGTTTCTAAACAGAAACGCCACAAAAAAACGTTCGCCTGACGTTACCTAAAAAAAAGTTCAAAAAACCTAGCACAAAATTTTAGTACAAAATTCGGTTCCGTAAAACACGGATTTCCGCGTACCTACTAAGGGAACTAGAGCAAGCTTATGGAACAAATAGTTTTTTCAATATGTTGATGTTTAGAATAAAACAGTAGTCATCTCTTTCATTGATGGACCTTTTGGATGGAGACACTTAATTAAGCAATTTCTGTCGCACAAAGATTTGTGCACCATAGTATGTTCACTAATATTTGCACAGCTAGATTATTGCAATTCCCTCTACTTTGGAATTGAAAAGCCATTATTAAAAAAACTGCAGTCTGTTCAAAATTGTGCAGTGAGACTGGTATTTAAAACTAGAATAGAAAATAATGTAAACAACCAGGATTTTAACAAATTGCATTGGCTGAAAATTAGTGAAAGAATATATTTCAAGGTCCTTTTAATTATGCACAACATTATGCAATTTAATTTATTACTCAATGTCAGAAAGAACACTAAAATTAGAGGAAAGGTTTGCAGCAATTGTTTTGGTAATCAACCATTATCCCATTATGGCCTAAACTTAGAATATACTTCCAAATATCATCTGTGACAAAAAAAAACACAACTATTTATAAGAAAAAAACTAAAATCTTATTTAATGGTGAATGGTTAAATTAACTTAAGCTTTTACTAATATAATAATTTGTTGCACAGCTGAGCAAGTGTTTTGCTAACTTTATCCACTTTTCTGGCAAAACACAATAACTGTGGGTATACATATGTATTTATTTATAATTAGTGTCTGTACTACACCTCTTTGCCCCAACCCAAGATGTATAATTTGATGAAAACTACAAGTACTAAGTAGAGTTGTTAAACCAGTGTACCTTTCTTTTTTCTCTTCACGTTGTTATTGTAAGTCCTATGCCTTTATGTAAATGAAATTAATAACCTTGATTTTCTCAATACAAAGCTCATACATAGCATCTGATGTGAGAATTTGGTTTCTGTGTGGTCATTTTAAACCTTGCGCTGTTAACCTTTTTACAGTACCGCCTATCCCATCACATGGTGACTTTCCGTGGGATATGGCAAATTTGCTCTCTAGTTGGCATAGATTATAAAAGCTTTTACAATTTTTATACTATCCTGCGCAATCATCAGGGAATAAATGTAATTTGGACAGATTAGAAATTTTTTTTTTAATATTGGTATGATTAGTTGGAATATTTTGTACACATAAGTTACATCATGTGTAATATTGTCTGATATAAAACATTAAGAAATATATTTCACCTTTGTACATCTTTTTTATCTTTATATTATATCACTAATGGATGTAAAGAACATTGTTCTTAATAAACATTTTTTTTTTAAAAAAAGTTGCCAATAATGATAATGCTTGATTGATTGGAATTTAATATTTTACAGAATTCTATTTGCAAGTTTTTTTTTAAATAACTTATTGAAAATTTGATATATCTTTAAAATTAAAGTTCTATAATGTTTCAGTTGTTTTTCCAGTTAGATTTTGTGCCTAGTAAGAAAATATTAATAGCAAAAAAAAAAAATTTGGTGGGCGTGTTTTGTGATATTGGGTCTCAAAGTTGCCTTATAGAAACTAGTTGTTTTATGAACTTTTAAGCATGTTCCTTTAATATTTCGGCATTTTAAGTAGATTTTAAGTAGGGAAACCAGGTCAATATTAAAATTGCAGTGTCTTGTCAACAACTCAATATTTTTATCTGAAATTTATGTATTAACTTTTCTTTTTAATATGCAACAGCCAAAGAAGTTTTTTAAAAATTTGAGAACCCATGATTTATTATTTCCTAAATTTTGGGTGATTTGATGCGGAATTATTCTTTTATTATCTTTTGTTTACTTATTTTTATAGTTTTTAAGTTAAATTTATTTTCTTGCCTGCATTTAGAAATCAATTGCAATTTTTTATATAATAAATATTCTTGGTTTGTTTGTGTAATTATTTCAAATTTTTTATGTAGACATGGTATGAGTTTTTTGGAAATATTATCATAAACAGGTGCTGTTTTTAAGATGGACCAATTCAATATAAATTCATTAATTTTTTTATCTTTCAATGTATTTTGACAGCATGGTGTCTTTTGAATACTTTTTTATTTTTAATGGGTTGCTTATATTTTTCCATTCATCCTCTGTTAAGCTATATACTGTTTATTAGGTATATTCTTAAAAGAAACAACACATTTATATACCATGCTTTTGATAAAGGTTTTGATATTAGTCAATTGTTTTTTTATTTACAATTACCATCATCATAATAAAGACTTAAATCATTAAAACTGAACCAATCTTATGATAAAGACTCAAGTCATTAATATTGATTATTTTACTTAATAAATCTAAAATATATTCAAATTGAATAAATGTACAGTCTTTTTTATTTTCAATTAAGGAGTACCAATTTATAAGGTCAGTTTATTTTTTTGCTGTTGTAAATTTAGTTTATTTCTAAAAATATTAATTTTGCCCAATTTAATTTTGCTTGCATGTCTAATCTCACTTTTTGATGGTTTTATTGAACTTACTAATTACCTAATATGGGTTTGGCATCTTTTTCATCTGTCTCAAGCGATAAACTGATTTTCTGTTATTTATCAACTCACCAATATTTTTTGTTGGAGAAATAATTTTGTTGGAAATCTTCTTAATAATAGCATGTTAATATAAATGATGTACCATAAGTTAAATATATATTTGTCAAAATAACACATTTATTTTCTTGAGTAGGTCACTTCTAATGAAAATTTTTAATTTTTTTGTTATGAGGATTCACAATATCACATATGTATAACATATTGTGATATGATATGCTAATATTTCTGATTTGCAGAAATCCTAAAAGTTTAAACATTTAACTTGCTTTTCTGTATAATTAAGTTAAGTGGTAGTTTTGGTTACTAGGTTACTAGGTTTGTCATCCTTTTGTTCAAAACTTTTTATCTTATTTTATTCTTAATACTGACAGCTTTTATACATAATTGTTAAAATTTAAGTAAACAGTTTAAATAGTAAATCAAATAAATGATATTTTAATATTTAAATCAGTTTAAATAATGAATCAAATAAATAATATTTGATAAAGTTGTTAATATATTTGATAAATATATTAATTTGATAATGATAAAATAATTAAATATATACATTTTTTGATTTATATACACTAGGGTGTTTCAAAAATATATAGAAAAACTTGTCTATATAAAGGTAGAAGATAAATTATAACTAAAAAATTGCACTCAGATCATTTTAAGTGCTTACTGTAAAATTCCTAAATCTTCTTTTTTTAGCTAGAAAAGATCAAAATTAAATAACTGACAGTATAATTATTTTATTCATAAATATATCTCATTATTATCTGAAATTAACTGACAGTAAAATTCTTTTATTCACAAATATATCTCATTATATATTATCATTTAGAAGGCTTTAAATTTCCATAAGTTCGTTTTGAGTTACTTTCTTGGCGCTTTAACTTTGTGTGTGTTGGAAACTAATTTTCATTTCTTTCTGGAAAATCAAAATCACAATCACTAGCAACTGAAGACTGGTGAGTTGCAGAACCTAAGTAACAATAAACGTTAATGACTTCTTTCATATCTTTTAATTCTCCTTTTATCCTTTTGTTTCATATCAATGTCATACTTTTCACCTCTCCTTAATGTTCTTTGATCTTAAAGAAAAGCCAAAATCTTCTATCACTGCAACATTCAATCTTGGTATATCTTTATCTGATTTTATTTTTGCTTCTATGTTTTTTTGAGAAATATCAAACAATTTTTCAAGAAATTCTTCAAACTGATTTTCGTGTTTTTTTTTGGTAACTGTGTTCCAGGCTAAATAACTTTTATTTCACATTGAAATGTACAATTTATTTAGTTTAATAAACTTTTGCACAATTTGTACTTCAGAAATTATATAGTTTCCAAAGCCAGCATATTTCCATATATTAACAATTTTTCTTAGGCACCATTTCCATATTTTCATTACAGAAATCTTTGTCAAGGCAAACCATATCCCTACTCCTGCTCTTTGTTTTGCATTAAAAATATTTTCTTGGGTAGACTTGAACCTTTTACTTTTTTAAATTTCCTAATATTTGGAACAGTGATCAAGAAAAGTTTGTTAATATGCTACTAGTTAATCAGTTACCACCCATATCCTAACAGTTTTTTTTTTAAAAAAGATCTTTTTTAAATTATGAAAAACAACAGCTATTAGAATTGTTAAAAGAGTAAGTTTTCATTTAGATGCAGCCGAAATATTTAAGTTAAGAAAAACTCAGAACACTTAATAGCATACAGTTTTTAATTTCTACAGTAAGCATTTGGAGTGATTTTATAAATCTTTTTCAATACTAGCAGTCTTCTATAAGTATATAGACAAAGAATTTGATGTGTACAGTTTCTTTTTTCATATTTTTGGAACACCCTAATATATATATTAGCGTGTCCTAAAAATATGAAAATATATATATATATATATATATATATATATATATATAGCATAAAAAGTTTTCCTATTGGACCAAAATCAAGGAACCATAAGAGTCTTTAAATTTTGACCTCAGTAAATACCTGCAACCTTTAGTTGAAAATAATGAAACAATGTAAAAGGGCTTGTTTCTCCGTGCAGCTATTTTATTTGTCAAGGTTCGTGTTATATAATTATAGAGTTAAGAGAGGGTTATAACCACAATTAAGTAGCATCCTTTTCTGTAGTAGCCTTCTCGACCTTGGGTAGGTGAATAAACATTAAAAAAAAAGGCATTTCAATTTTATAATGGCATGTTCTTGTAAGTGTTCATTAAGTTTTGTTTATAGTGAATCTGGTGGTGAATGAAATGATGTTATCTAACCTTAACTTAACCTAAAGTAATCCTAATATATCATAAATTTACTCCATCAAACCTGAAGTAAGGCTCATAATATATTACACTTTTAACATGTTTTGTTTTTTGTTGTAAACTGTTACTAATAATGATAGTTAATTCTTGCTACAAAGGGGTTTATTTCAATTAGTTGTTTATTATCAATCTTAGCTAAGTGTTCTCCGGAGCTGTCATCTATTTTTTCAAAACTATTCAACAAGTGCTTATCAGAGTCTTGTTTTCCAGCCTGCTGGAAAGCAGCATCTGTTATCCCTATTTTTAAAAATTCTGGAGAGTGATCTGATTCGTCTAACTACTGTCCCATTACTCTTCTTCCTATCATAAGCAAGGTTTTTGAATCTTTAATTAATAAACACTTAATCTCTCATCTCGAATCTATTAACTTACTTTCTGATTATCAATATGGATTTCGATCTTCTTGTTCTACGGCTGATTTGCTAACAGTAATAACCGATATGTTTTATCATGCATTAGATAAAGGAGGAGAGGTTAAGGCCATTGCTCTTGACATTTTTAAAGCGTTTGATAAAGTTTAGCATGCTGGTCTTCTCCATAGATTTTAGATTTGGATTCTCCATAGATCCTTGAAAAGGATCTCACTTCTGCTAAGCAGAAGTGAGATCCTTTTCAAGGATCTCACTTCTGGGGCTCACAGTGGCTGGTGAACTTTAATTAGATAAAACTCAATTTTTTTTAGCCAATCGTTATCGCAATAATTTAGATCTTTCTATATTTATGAACGGTAATGTACTTGATGATTTATCTATCCTTCCATATATCAAATCCATTGCAAAGTTAGCATATGCTAAAGTTGCATCTCTTTATTGTGGTTGACACTTTCTTATTCCGGATTCTATTCTTTATTTCTATAAATCTCAAATCTAGCCTTGTGTGGAATACTGTTGCTATATCTGGGGCGGATCTTCTGATGATGCCCTTTCTCTTTTAGACAAGGTGCAAAAGCGCGTTGTAAACATAGTTGGACCTGCTCTTGCAGCCAACTTTCAACCATTATCACATCGTTGTTATGTTGCTTCTCTTTCTCTTTTCTACAAATACTATAAAAGGCACTGCTCTAAAGAGCTAGCATCTCTTGTGCCATCTACTAAAATTCATTCTTGTGTTACTCGTCATTCAATTAAGTATCATCATTTTTTTCCTCGAACATCAGCTCATCTTGCTTTCCTGATTCATATAATTTGCAATCTTTTAAGTCATCTGTCAATTGTTATCTTGTTCTACAATCTTCATCTTTTCTCTTCCAGTAACTTCCAATACTAATTAGTGGTTGCTTGTAGCCTTGTTGGAAGCGAAGATGTTTAAATATATATATATATATATATATATATATATATATATATATATATATATATATATATATATATATATATATATATATATATATATATATTAGGGTGTCCCAAAAACACACTTTTTTTAAAATTTCAATGTGCTCTCAACTGATCCCCATTCTATAGGTCCTAAATAACTACCAAAATCTTTTTTTTAACTTTTTATTACTAGAAGTGATAGATGTAAATTCTGAGTTTTACGGTTTTGTACACATATGTGTATTTACTAAAAAACAGCGCTATCTAGTATTTCAATATGTTTTAATATGATGTAATAATTAGTACACAAATAATTCCCATAGGATATTATTAAAGAATAGAATCATTCCCTATGAACATTGTTAGCGATTGATATTTTTCCCTCTGGACAATATTATTAGTTGGTATAATTCCCCATGGATTGGTTCACAAATAACTCCATTTAGAAATTTTTTTTGAAGGAAAAAATTTCTAAATGGAATTATTTGTGCACGACGCAATTCTAATTTGTGCACGAAGAAATTCTCGTGTAAACGGTTATAAAAGCCGTAACGGTAAACTTAGATAAAATATTATACGAGAGGGAATAACAACTTCGTAGATTTTTGATGCAAGTGTAACATTTAGTAAAAATTTAGTTGAAAAACTGATTATTTCGAAATTCATATAAAGATGGGTAGAACAGCTAAAAAAAAGAAGATTATAGGACAGAATAAGAAAAAACGGAAAAATACAGAAAGGTTGAGGTATATTTACCTATTGAAGTACCCACTGAGGGAGTTACCTCAGAGACAGCTTCAATCTAATGGTGACATTCTTAGATACTATCAATTTATCCTTCGCGAGTCACAAGTTAAATACAAACCCACTTCAACTAATGTTGGTTGCAAATTGAAATCGAAATCCAAGGATCTTGTTTGTGAAAATGGTGTTTGTACAGATCCTGATAATTCTTGCTTGGTATCTAGGATTAAAAAAATTTGAGATAATGCTGGGTTTGGCAAGAAATTTGTGATTTGTGGGTACAATATAAAGACCAAAATCATTAAACTTAATTTAAAATACAAGAAATTGATTAAATTGTCTTCTCTAAACTGGAACAGCAGTCTTGATAAGCAATCAAAGTTAGAGAAAGATTTTCTCACAGAATCCTATCAGCTTTTTGACATCTCGACTAAGAATTTTAAAAAAGATATTCTTGCTGATAGATTGAGAACAGATGATGCCAAGCTGGAAGATATAAAGTAAGTTCATTAAATAACACTTTTTTTAGTAGTGAGATTTTTTTTCCAATTAAAAGTAACTTAAGTAATAGCATATTATTTCCTTTAAAATATTTACGTTTAACTCTTTACATAGTTTGGTCATTTTCCAAGAAAAACTAGAACAATTATTAATTTATTTATAAATGGCTTAATAGATTTAAATATTTCTTAGTTTTTATGAAGACCAGAGGTTACATAGGAAAGGATATATGGAAACAAAAGTCGATGAAGACTACAGTAGAAGAGTACTGGATGCAAACAGGAGAAAGAGCAAGCTAGATAAGTTGAAAGAGAAAGAATTAGAGAGACAGAAAAACTTAAAAGATATCAATGATGTTTTGTTGTCACATGACTCCATGACAGAAGAGATTCAATTCAGCAGTGAGGAAGAAAAGTCAAACGAGGACTCTGAAATCAGCGAGGAAGATGATTTCCTGGGTAACGGTCGGAAACGCAGGTATAGTATTATTTTAATAACATAGTTGTAATTTTCACAAGCTAAAGCTGTTTTATTGAAAAGTGTATAATTATAAATAGGTAGAAAAATATTATAAAATGATACCTAGGTACAATTCTGGAGATAGGATAAATCTAGCAGTGAATGTTGAAAAGCTCATTGAATGTACTGCTATTCCAGCAACAAGGTTCAATGTTGGTGTACGATCTCATCTGGCAATTTTAAGTGAAGTATTTAAAGCTGGAGGTATAGAAATTAATGATATACCGCTTTCACGAAGCACACTTCATAGAAAAAAGTTCAAATATGTAGAACTTGAAGGAGACTCGGAGTGGATTTCAATATCTAATCATCTTAAAGGCTGACGGCTTATTCTTCATTTTGATACCAAACTGTTGGAACAAATTACCACTGGGCTTAACATTATTCAAAAAATTGAGCGACTTGCAGTCTCAGTGAGTTACCCGGATGACGATACCATGGAAGACCATCTTTTAGGTGTTGTTCAATGTCCCTCTTCAAAGGGAGTTGACCAAGCAGAACAAGTGCACAATCTTTTAGAATATTACGGATGTAAAGAGCAGATCATTGGTATATGCTGTGATACAACTGCAAGCAATACAGGCGGAGTAAATGGAGCAGTCTAAATTCTTACAGATATTTTGAAATTACCAATTTTGTGGATAATGTGTAGGAGACACATATATGAAGTACATGTATCTCACTATATGGCTGCCCTTACTGGTGAGAAAACTAAAGGTCCAAGAAGAGCTCTTTATGTCAAGCTAAAAAACAAGTGGCCTGAAATCTGTGAGAAAGTGAATGAAGTGAAAAATTTATGTAAATTGGACTGGCAAAGAGATGATCTGAAGATTGGCTCTGTTCTTCGCACTGTTGCAGAGGAAGCTAAGACATTTTTGACTAATGCAACTACTGATATAGTGTTTTCAAGGAATAATTACGGTATAGTTTGTAAGCTTGCCTCCTTCCTTGGAGTGGAAGTACAAGATTTTAAGTTCCATCAACCTGGCGCCTGCCATGAGGCAAGGTTTTTAGCAGATGCGACCTACATCCTGACTCTTTATATGACTAAAGATAATATCTTGACAGAAAAAGAAATGCTGCAGTTAAAGGATGCAAGTTTGTTCATTGCAATTTGTTATGTTCCATGGTTTTTAAAAAGTTTTTTAGGATTTCTGGCTTCCTACAATGATTTGAAAGCTATCCAGACAGCCTATGCATTGAGAAAAGTTAGTAAGAATATTGAAAATGCTTGGCTTCTCAGCATGGGACACCATACGTGGTACTTATCTCCGCAACTCTGTGTTTTTTCCTTTGGGGATCATTGGGGATCAAACTCAATCAGAGCTAAGAATGCTGTTAGCTCTGATTGAGTTTGAAGAGCCAAATGAATTTCAGCGTTATAAACCATCAAATGTACAAATTGGAGAGACCACAGAGCTACCTGAGTTGATTTCCGAGCAAAGCTACCTTCTCTTCAAACATTTTAAAATATCAAGAGCAAGTATAAAAGAATGGCTTAATAATAGTCTTAATACTATAGATGTTTTTAACCATCCTCTGTTGCTAGATTTTATTGCATGGATCAAAAACATATCTGTTGTAAATGATGGTGCAGAAAGAAACATTAAGCTCATTAAAGATTTTATTTCAGCTACTAGAGATAAAGATCACCTTCAAAATGTACTTTTTGTAGTTAAAAAGTCTAGAATAAACTTGACTAAGACTATGACTAAAAAAGAGCTTGGGAACTGTTCAAAAAGTTGTATTTTTTGAGAAATGTTTCACCGCAATAAAATCTTAAATTTGCTAATAAATATTAGTTTTCATGTATTTTTTTTGTATTTTCATATTTATAAATATAATCTATCAAGATAAATAGTAGAAAACAATTGGAAATGATTTATACCCATCTAATTATTTTGTTTTAAATTTCTAAAATGTGTTTTCTATTAATGTTAAGCTAGCTTAACATTAAAACAGTAAAACTCAGATTTTACATCTAACACTTCCTGTCAAAATAAAACCGTCAAATTTTTTTTAGTACTTATTTAGGTCACATAAAATGGGAATCAGTAGAGAGCTTTTTTTTTTTTTTTGGGACACCCTAATATATATATATATATATAATATATATATATATATATATATATATATATATATATATATATATATATATATATTGATCACCACTATAAATGCCTCTTTTATTTAACATTAAAAACAATATGTTTATGTATTTCTCCTTTATTTATTCAAGTATTAACTTTAATTTTATTAAACTTAATTCTAGTTTTTTTTAAACAGAATTAAATTATATAATTTTAAATCAAAATTAATTTATATCTTTTTTTTATCACAATAAAATTATAAATTTCAATTAGATTAGTTTTAAATTAAATTATATATTTTTATCAGAATTAGATTATATATTTGTTATGATCTATCTAAAATAAAATTTGACTTTTTTTCTTTAATAATTTATTTTTTATTATTAAATAAAAACATATATATTTCTTTCATGGGTTATCCAAATAAATACAATTTTTAAATAAGGATTACTCAAAGAATTTTAATTAAAATAAGAAAAAATCTTTTTTTACAAATTATCTTTAATGGTGGAAAAACTATCCAAAAAATACATTTTTGAACTAAATTTAAAACAATATATCTTGAGTTAACCATCATCATATGACTTAATTTTTTATTCAATTACTATTTTAATCCATTTTCCACACCAGCACGGGGAAGTAGCTCTTTTGGCTAAGAGTTAGTTTGTTGTGGTTTGCACTATACAGTCTTCACTAACGTTCCTTTGTTCGTTTTGTCAACAATATTGTTTTTTAACGTTACATTTTTTAGTGGTTATTAGCTATTAGTAAAATATCGCATTTTTTGTCTTATCTCTTTATTTTCTCATTATTCTCAGCCTACTGATTTAATGTTTGTATATTTTTTTATCTCTGGCTAATCATATTTTAATTACTCTGAGTCTGTTTTGTGTGATAGCTATTGTCTCTACTTATCAGACAAGATTTATATGAGAACATACTATTGGAGTTACCACATTTTTTTATCATATTTTCGTTTAACTGCTTTTATACTAACCAAAAAACATCTTAACTTAGTATCAATGTTTATGAGTGGCATTTACTTATTATATTTATAAAACACATTTCAGCCATAAAAGAAATGATAAGTTACTCTTAATTATAAATTACTATTTCCTATTCGCTTTGAGTTATTTCTACACATTAAAATTGTTTATTTTAATACATGCGCGTATGTGCATGTGTACAAGTTTGTCTCTTCTAAAGTAAGGGTACATTATATTTATATGTGTTTACATATTTGTTTATGGTCACACCACGCGCATCCCTCACCACCCTCTCGAGATTTCTAAGAATGTTGAAGCTGTATTAAAAACTGGGATAAGGATTGTTTTTTTTTTATATGTTTAAAGACCCATGTTTTTCTGGAAACTAGAATATATATATATACATATATATATATATATATATATATATATATATATATATATATATATATATATATATATATATATATATATATATATATATATATATATATATATATATATATATATATATATATATATATATATATATATATATATATATATATATATATATATATATATATATATATATATATATATATATATATATATATATATATAAAAGGAAAAAGTGTAGATAGGTCGGTGTGGAATAGACTTACAAAGACTTTTGCGAGTCTGGTCAGCTAGTCTTTTAATAATATTAGGGACCTGTGAATTGGTCAATGCTCTTTAGTAACCCCTAAAAGTAATTTTAATAAGCTAATTTCTGAAAGCTAGTATCATTTTTATTATACATAAATTATTGGATAGGAGTAGAACACAATAAGTGGATGGGATTAGAACACATTTATTAGCTTGGAGTTTTTTTTTTAATTAATATATACATCTTTTTTATTATAATTAAAGTAATTGTTTAAAAATTTTTTTAAAAATCAAATTTGCAGATTGTAGAGATTAAATTTTACTTCACGTCTATTGACGTTATTAAGTTGATGTTATTGACTACGTTATTAAGTTTAACTTTATAATTATTTTTTTAGTGCGTTCTTGCAATATGGTCTATATTAACAAATGTAGCTAAGGAGCATATTCTGCAATATACACTTGTTATGATTGATGATATTCTTTCCAACTCGAAAGGAAATGCAAAGATATTTTATGAAGCAGCTAAAAAAAATTCTATTATTGTTTGGAGTTCCCTTATCAATTTACTAATGCGCGATGATCAAATAATTATGCATATGGCCAGCCGTTTAATTGCTAAGTTTGCCAGACTTAGTAGACATTATATTACAGATTCTGATCTTACATATTACATCAATTGGTTAAAAGTTCAATTAGCAGTTCCAGTAAGTAATTTTTAAATAATATTTTTATTTTTACTGTTGGTTCAACCATAGTACAATGTTGTTAAAATATGTTTAGAAAAATTCATAGTAATAAAAATCATGCTATTTATTTACTAAATTATGTAATTTTTTTATTTATTTATATTTTTACTTATATATATAAATTATTTTTCTTATACTAGTAATTATTTTTCTAAAAAACATGTTTATGTTACTGTTTGGCTAGAAAACTAAAAAACTCCCAATTCTGTAGCACTAAAACACATTTTAGTATTTTAACCTTTATTGGGGCAACCTTAAAAGTTGCTCATTGGTTTTTAAAGTTTTCATATTTCATATTCTTTAAATTGATTTTTATCTTATTTATCAAATAATTTTGTTATATAGGGAAATGAACATTTGCAAAGCGTAGCAGAGTGTATTCAATGGATATTGCAAGTAGATGAATATAGGTTGCCATTTGTTGAAGCTAATGGTATTAATAGGTAATTTTTTATAAAAGCTTAACGAGATCCAAGATGTCTATTAAATCATAAATGTTTAGTTATAGTCCAATATAAGCTGTAAGTGTATTTAGTTATAGTCACTAAACTGTAAGTGTAGGATTGCAATACCGGTTAACCTGTAATTCAAATAAAAATTTATAATTTTATTACTGGTAAATTTGGTAAAAAAGATATTATGACAAATCTAAGAAACTATGATCTTGTTAATAAGAAACCACACATAAAAAAATGCAAACACTTCACAAATGTTTTTTTAAAACTGAAAGAAAATATAATAAATGGTAAAAAAATAATTTTCTTTGTATATTGATAAATGTTAGTATAATTTCATTGGGAAATGATTAGCGCTTGGTTAAATTTCCTCTGGAGATTATTAATGATTCATACAAAAGTAATTATATTTGGATAATTTGCATGAAGGAATTCTTGTGCAAACACTCGTAGAAACAGTAGCATTTAAAGTATGAAAAAGAATTTGTACATCTTATGATTCAAGAATACTGTTGCTAACAATACTGTTGTTATGCTAGCATTTCTAAAAATTGTGAATAAATATGCAACTAAAATATGCCAATGCATCTTAGCAGAACTTAAAATGTAAGCTAGTCAAGGTGAAGGGTTTAGCATCACATTAGATGAATGAACTTCTGTAATAAACCGTCTTTTTATGAATTTAAATGTGCACGCATTTGAGAAATTGTTAAGTCTCAGTCTTGCTAGAGGTCATGGATCAATGCTAGCAGATAAATGTATTGCTCTTTTAGAGGAAAAACCTAAAACATTTGGTATTTCTTTAGACAATTTGGTTTTAATTACAGCAGATGAAACATCAGTAATGAACAGAGTGGAAAAAGTTAATCAGTGCTAACCATCAATTATGTTTAGTGCAAAGAATTTAATTGGCCATTATCTTCTTTATGAAAAAGGTAATTGTCAGCAAATTTAGAAGAGGTAAAATCAACTTATTTAGAACAAGAATATTTTTTGAACGACGAGAAAGAAGATGTTGGTAGTTTAGAGCTATTATCTGAAATGAACATTGATCAGATTACAGGCCTTGCTATAAAGCGTCGGGCGATGTGAATTTTACGTCGTCCAAGAGCGATTTTGCGTGTAGCTAGGGCTATTTGCGTCGAGCAAAAAATTTTTTGTTTGAGTATATTTAAAGATATTTTTGAGCGGAATTTTAATGAAGTAATTTTCGATTATTTTAACATGTAATAAAGTATTTTAAATGCACGCAGTTGATATAAAAGTTTGAATTACAAAAAAATATAAATATGCTTATTATTTACAAGTAGAAAAAATTCAGGAGGCAGAACGTCCAATTAAATGCTCTTTTGCGGTGCTCTGTGATAAGACCGTAAGGACTTCTTGAGGCACCTAAATCAACTTAAAAAAAATATGAAAAAGTCTAATTGATATAGAGTATACAATCACATTTGATGAAAATAATATTTGCTTATTATCAAACATAATATCAGCCTTGCAGCCTTTAAAAGTTGCTGTAGAAGCATTGTGTTGCAAAAATGTTAATCTTTATGCAGCTGATATAACATTTAAAGTTATGTTAAATGAACTCAGCAAAACACTTTATTAACCATCAAGCTTAAAAATGAATTTAAATATACAAATAAATGTATAAAAAATATTACAAATTTTTTGAACTTTTTATTAATATTTTGTATTTCAGAAAATTTTTAAAAATGTCCAAAATTACTGGTTAATCGATTTTTATTTACCTATATACCAGTAGATTGGTAATTTTGCAATCCTTCTGTAACTGTGTTTAGTTATAGTCACTAAATTGTAAGTATGTTTAGTTATAGTCACTAAGCTGTAAGTATGTTTAGTTATAGTCACAAAGCGGTAAGTACGTTTAGTTATAGTTGCTAAGCTATAAATATGTTTAGTTATAGTCACTAATCTTAAAAAATAATATAACGTTAAAAATGAAGGAATTTTTTTTGTTATATCTCAATAAATAATTTACTTTAATAAGTTTAATTAACTTATTTTTTAAAGTTTATTTAAGATATAAGAACACAACTTTATCTAAGATATGAATACAGCTTATCTCAGCACTTGGGTATTCCTTTAAACATCTTTATGGTCAATCAGGTACTGCCTAATTTTGCTAAAAAAGCAAAAATCATAAGGTGCTTTTACAACATTAGGTTTTGAGTTGTCATTTAAGATTTTTTTGCTTTTGATGCCTTATGTTGCTTCTTGCTTTTTCAAGGTATATGGATCAACATTGTCTATTTTTACAATCTTGGTTTTACATTGACTTTTATTTTGGTTTGACAAAAGTTTGTAATAATTGCTTTCTGCTATACTGAAGGTTTTTCACGGAATGTTATGATTTGTTTTTGAACCAACATGGCAGATTTGCATAATTTAACATAAATTAAAATTACACTCGGAACACAGAATAGTATAATATGACTGAAGTTATTGACAAAATTTATGCAAAAATTACTACTAAATGCTGCACTTCTAGAGCAGTAGATTCATTTATTACTTTAACTCTGCATTATAACAATAAAAAAAACAAAATAATTGAGTCAGTCGTTTGTTTGAAAGCAAAACAAAATGTGATGATTACTGATGCTGTTAGTAGGAGGGATGAAACCAAAAAACAAGATGGAACTAATAGAGGCTTTGATCTATGTCTGGCCTCATGACAACGAAATCCGTAAGCTTTGCCCGAAACTTATTCATGGGATACCTTCAAGGGTCCAGGTACTGCTTAAAAATAAGGGAAACCATACAAAATATTAACTGACATGTTTCAATTATTCAAACTTTAATTGCCAGTGTAATTTATTTCATTTTCTATTGTTACTTTTTGCATTTTTATTGTAATTTTAACTTAGTCTTATTAATGCGAATTTTAAGTCATCTTGGCATTTGAATATCAAGTCCTAATTTTGTATTTATTTGTTTTTATACTTAAACGGTTCAATTTTGTGCTTTTTTACAATAAAATATTGCACTTCTTAACTTTTCTAATTTTTTATAATGTTTTGAAGTAAAAGTGTTGCATTATTTATTAATTTCACAAATGTATCAAAAATTGCATTTAGTCTAATAATTTGACCACCACTGTACCTTCTCTACTCGATTTATGTCTTGTTTCTGACTCTAGTCAGTGCTCAGTTTCTCCACATTCACCCTTAGGTGCTTCTGATCACAGTTTGATCTCACTAAAACTTTTATCTCATTCTTCTTTATCATTTAAATCCCCCTATCATCCTACATCTTACAACTACCTTAAAGCTGATGGGGACTCTTTCCGTGATTTTCTATATGATGGCCCTTGGGTCATCTTCCTGTTGGCAAATGTGCTTCTTATATAACTTTGTGGATTCAGGCTGGCATAGAATCCTTTATTCCCTCTCAACGATTACAGGTCAAGCCTCACTCTTAACCATGGTTTTCCTCACATTGTGCTGCTGCAATTGTTAATTGAAACCATTACTTCTATTTCTATCAGTAAAACAGTTCTCCATAAATTAGACGTCTGTTTACTACTGCTAGAAACCATTGTAAAAAGGTTTTGTCTAACGCCAAAGCCTGCTATTCTCAGGTCATGAAATCTCATATTTCCTCATAAAAATTAGGCTCTCGTGACTTCTGGAGAATCTTTATTAGTATCAATAATAAAGGAAAATCTGTTATTCCACCTCTCTTGTATGGTTCAAACTTTGTCACCTCACCTAAAGACAAAGCTGAATTGTTTGCTAAGAGCTTCATCAATATCATCTCTTGATTTGACTAGTTGCATTCTACCTGATATAGCCATCAAACAGGTTGATCCATTGCTTGACATTGGTATCATTCCAGCCTCTGTATCTAAAGTGATTTACTGCTTAGACTCTTCTGCAGCTTGTCGCCCAGACAACATACCTGTTATAGTATTGCAGAAGTGTTCTCTGGAGCTGTCGTCTATCCTTTCAAAACTATTCAACAAGTGCTTATCAGAGTCTTGTTTTCCAGTCTGCTGGAAAGCAGCATCTGTTATCCCTATTTAAAAAAATTCTGGAGAGCAATCTGATTCGTGTTTGTTAATTAAAGATTAAATCTTTAATTAACAAACACTTAATCTCTCATCTTGAATCTAATAACTTATTTTCTGATCATCAATATTTGCTAACAGTAATAACCGATAGGTTTTATCGTGCATTAGATAAAGGTGGAGAGGTTAAGGCCATTGCTCTTAATCTCAAAAAATAGGTCCTTTCCAATTGTAGTATAAAAGTTGTCCTTGATGGACAGCACTCTTCTTCTTATTCTGTAAACTCAGGGGTTTCTCAAGGTTCAATCCTTGGCCCTATACTCTTTTTAATTTACATTAACAATCTTCCAGATATTCTCGCATTTAAGGTGACATTGTTTGCTGATAATGCTACCATTTATTCTTGTCATGATAAGAAGCCAACACTCTCTGATTGCTTGGAGGGGGCATTTAAGCTTGAAAAAGATCTCACTTCTGCGACTGCATGGGGCTCACAGTGGCTGGTAAATTTTAATTTAGATAAAACTCCATTTTTTTTAGCCAATATTATCGCAATAATTTAGACCATCCTATATTTATGAAAGGTAATGTACTTCATGAGTCAACTACTCTTCATTTTCTAGGATTAACTCTTACTTATGATCTTTCTTGGAAACCATATATCAAATCCATTGCAAAATTAGCATCTGCTAAAGTTGCTTCTCTTTATCAAGCTCAACACTTTCTTACTCGGATTCTATTCTCTATCTCTATAAATCTCAATTACGACCTTGTATGGAATACTGTTGCCATATCTGGGGTGGATCTTCTAATGTTTTTGCCCTTTCTCTTTTAGACAAGGTGCAAAAACACATTGTAAACATAGTTGGACCTGCTCTTGCAGCCAACCTTCAACCATTATCACATCGTCGTAATGTTGCTTCTCTTTCTCTTTTCTAGAAATACTATAATGGGCACTGCTTTAAAGAGCTAGCGTCTCTTGTGCCATCTACTAAAATTCATTCTTGTGTTACTTGTCATTCAAATAAGTCTCATCCTTTTTCTGTGACTGTTCCTATGTGCTCCAAAAACTCTTATTCCTCTAGTTTTTTTCCTTGAACATCAGTTCTTTGAAATTTGCTTCCTTCATCTTGCTTTTCTGATTCATATAATTTGCAATCTTTTAAGTCATCTGTCAATCGTTATCTTGCTCTACAATCTTCATCTTTTCTCTCTTCTAGTAACTCAATTCTCAAAGTGGTTGCTTGCAGTCTTGTTGGAAGCGAAGATGTTTAAAATATATATATATATATATATATATATATATATATATAGATATATATATATATATATATATATATATATATATATATATATATATATATATCTTGCTTACGTAAATAGTGACTGTCTGAATTCTCACTCAAAGTATTTACTGATGCTTCTACAGTTGGTTATTTCAGTATTATGCTATCAGTGACCTGCAAACTTAAATTAGTAGTACAAGATTTTTGGGATATACACTCTTGCGGAAAATGTGGAGTTTTCCTCCACACCGATATATACCATTATATACCATAACTCCACACAAGTGTGGAGTTATTTTGCACACTTTTGTGGAAATTAACTTTTTCTTACTTGATTTCTGCACAAAATTGTGCAAAATAACTCCACACTTGTGTCTAGGAGTGATAGCTACACTTTCCGCGAGTTTGGACAAGATATATAAATTATGCAAATGTGAAAAAATCATTTTAACTGTTTATCTGCATTATTCTAGTTTAATTTTTAAGTTTTAGTACATTTTTGTGGTAGTGTTATTTATTTAAAGAATATATGATTGAGAAATAATAGTAACTAAAAATAAATTATATTTATTCAAAGTTTTCTTTACCTAAAATAATATATTTCTTAATGTAAAAGAATTTTTTTAGTATTATAATAATTGTTTTGGTTATTATTTTTCAGTATTGTATCAGTCTTATTGAGCAGCCTTGGTTTTCAACTTCAGTATCAGTTGATTTTTTCATTATGGATGTTATCATTTCATGTAAAGATAGCTGGCATCATTGCAGAGTATGCATTTATAAATGATTAGACAAATTGTATTATAAAGTGTATAATAATATATAATACAGATCTTTATATATATATATAGATCTGTATTATATATATATATATATAAATATCTGTATTATATATATATATATATATATATATATAAATATCTGTATTTTTGGTGTTTACTTAAGATTAGTAGAATTACTATTTGTAAATATCCATGAAATTATTATACAGAATATATATGATTGATTGTCATTTAACAGTTATTGAATGTTTTAAATTAAAATATTTTTAGATAATGAAATGAATTTGAATTTCCGAAATTTTATAAAATAAAAATTTTATATTTATAAAAAATAATGATAAATAATACTAATAAAAATAATATAGAAATTATAAAAATTAAATGATCAGAAAACAAGTTTGGTTAATCAGCTTTGTTTACAAAAAAAAAATGAAAGCACATAAAATGTTTTAAAATTAGCTATTTTAGGGGTCCCAATAAAACTGTGATTATTCATCTATTGAGGGGTACCAATAAAACTAGACATGTTTATTTACTTAGGGGTCCTATTAAAACCGGGCTTGTTTATCTATGGAAGGATCCTAACAAAATCAGGTTTGTTCATTTACTGAAAGATCCCATAAAAACCAGGCTTGTATATCTACTTTAAGGTCCCATTAAAATCAGGCTTGTTTATCTACTGAGTGGTCCCATTAAACAAAAAAATAAAATTAAATTCTTTTAAAATATTTTTTTAAGCATAAAGTTCGCTGTGTTTTTTTTTTTTTTTTGAAAGTTTTTTGTTTGGTTTTAAAGTCAAATGAAAAAAAAAAAGAGCCTATGCATTTTGAATTTCGAAAAAATAATTTCACCCTTATAGTCTGAGACACCCTAATACACATATATATATAAATATATATATATATATATATATATATATATATATATATATATATATATATATATATATATATATATATATATATATATATATATATATATATATATATATATATATATATATATATATATATATATATTTAGTATTTATATATATTTAGTATTTATATATATATTTAGTATTTATATATATATATTTAGTATTTATATATATATATTTAGTATTTATATATATATTTAGTATTTATATATATATGTGTATTAGGGTGTCCCAGACTATAAGGGTGAAATTATTTTTTCGAAATTCAAATGTCTGCGCTCTTTTTTTTTTTTTTTTAATTTTTGTGTTTTTGCAGTTTTGTTGATAAACTGTTTGTAAACTTTTGTTTTTTTTAAAGCGGCAATGTGATTACAGTTCTAGCTGATATTATGAGGAATTCAGAGAAAGAAAAAGTTACTCGAATTATAATCGCAACATTCAGGGTATGTTACTTTTAATATAGTAGCACAACTAAAGAAAGTTTTAAAATTATAGAAAATATTTATTAAACTTTTATTTACAGGTGAAAGTTTGTCTAATGTTTGTTAATTTAGGTTGAAAAAGGTTTAGTGATAACTTAGCCTAAAAACTTTGTTGAAAGATTAGTTTTTGAAATGAAATGAAAGAAAATTGTGAAATGAAAGAAAGATACAATTTGTTCTTTAAATAAAGAAACAAGAGATTAAACTAGTTTCATTTTTATTTATTTATTTAATTTAAAATAAATTGCTTGTAGTGCTTAACTGTGTTTTATTTATGTTTTAATAACACACTATGAAAAGAAAGGCCGCAAACTCACTATATTTGCACAAAAGTAATAAGTAATATATTGATAGACTTTTGAATGCTTATAAACATGAAGTTTTTTTTTACTTGTAAGGTGCTTAATTTAATTTGATGCATTAGCAAGGTTCCTTTGGTTATCTGGTATAATCTCATTAATGTTTTCATCCACTTTCAAATCTGGTAAAAAAGCTAAGCTCACTCACTTCTTATGGGCACATCAGGGGTAGATGTAAGATCTACAAAACCGATTTTAATTGATCAAATGCACACATATTATATACATATATGTGTGTGTGTGTGTGTGTATATATGTATAGTTTTTCACTTACGGGGACAGATTTTACAAAAAATGAACACTTATGGGGAAATAAGCATTATCAGGGACATTTTAGTGTTATTTTTTGTCCCCATACGCATTATTTTTTTTGTAAAAAAATGTACCACTAAGAAACTTTTATAGAGAACAAAAAGTACATACATTGACTATCAAATAGCCTGACTTGCAAGGGAGTGCTGCTACATCGACTAAGCCAGGCTTAAGGTTAGGGTTACAACAAGGTTTAAATTTGGTTATATTATTGTAATTAATCATTTTTGTAAATAAATGACGTTAAAAATGAAATATAACATAAAACAAAAAAATAAAAATAACAAAAATTAATTTAAAAAATATATTTTTATAATAAAATAATAAATTTAAAATAATAAAATAAAATAAAAGTTAATAAATATGATAAAAATAGTATAGAAAAGTAAAAAAAAAAAAAACAGAACGGGAACAAAAAAACATTTCCTGGAAAATCACAACTAGGATGCTATATATATATATATATATATACAGTCGACTCTCAATATCTCGAATACTAAGGGGACCGGAAAAAAAGTTCGAGATATCAAGAGTTCAAGATATCAAGAAAAGGGTTGAAAATAAATAAAATTGCCCGACTTTCATTGAAACAAGTTATTTTTCTGACGAAAATCATTAACAACAAAAACTACAACTTTTGGAAAAAATCTGTTATCTGATATTGCTTTAAATTATCATCTTTTCTATCTTGATTAAATCCTCAAGTTTTAGTGCTAGGGATTGTATTTCATTTCCATATTTTGAGCTGTATAGCGAAGCATTTTGAATCGTTTCAAAAGCAATTTCTAATTGAATATCAGATGGGTGTTGCGGGGATTCGACGTCAATAGCTTCGTCAATGTTATCTTCAACTTCGTTATCATCGTTTTCAAAATTAGGGTCTAAAATCTGAGCAATGATTTCAGCATCAGTAGCAAGTGAACCGGTGGTTACTACATCGCAATCTAAACCAATGTAAGATTCCGCTGAGAGATCTTCTTGGACGGCACGAGGATCTAACTCTCGCAAACGGTTAAGTTCTTCTGTCAAAATTTTAAAAGGATGATCATCATCAGCTTCTTCAATACTCTTGTTTGTTTTGCTGATACCAGCTTTTTTAAAGCAGATGATGACAGTCTCCTTTGACACAGCATTCCACAAAGAAACAAGATCTTTCATTGCTTGAAGTATAGAAATTTTTGGCATGGGTTCGTTATTATCGACAGCCTTGATACACAAACGCACATTTTTGTGACAATAATGAGCTTTAAGACTTCGTATTACGCCTTGATCCATGGGCTGAAGGACAGATGTGGTGTTAGGGGGGGAAAATATTAGGTTGATGTTGCTTAGCCCTTCAATGTGTGGGTGGGCAGAACAGTTATCTACCAGGAGTGCTACTTTCCTGTCTTGAGCACGAAAAAATGAGTCAAGTTTCATTACCCATTCTGTAAAAAGGTCTCCGGTCATCCAATTTTTTAGCTGATTTTTATATGTGTAAGGAAGTTGTTTAATGTGCTTAAAACACCGTGGGTTTTTAGATTTTCCAATAACAAACATAGGTAATTTTTCTCCCGTTGCACTCCCTGCTGCTATGCCTGTTAGTCTGACTTTACTATTTTTTTCCCCGAAACATTTTTCTCATGATAAATGGTATGTTTTGTTTGGTAGGCACTGGTAAAATAGTCCAAACTCATCAGCATTGAAAACGTTTTCAAGTTTGTAATTCAAAAGCAATGTTGGAAGTGTAGTTTCATTCCATGAAGCAGTCATATTATTCGTCACGGCGGCACTTTCGTCTGAGAATTTTTTAAAGCTGATGCCGTTGCTAAAAATAGGAATAGAATAATTGAATTTTAATTACACGTTTAAAAAACTAAATAAATTAGATATAAACAGATACATGTTATTTGTTTTTATTAAAATTGAACAAGATTTGACAAAATTTAACTGACCTTTCCTTCCAATTATGAAACCAACAATCAGATGCTTTAAAATCCAACTCTCCTAATGCTTCTGCGAATTTTAGTGCCTTTTCTTTTAGTATGGTACCATCAATTGGAACTTGTTGACTTCTTTTTGCAACGAACCACGTGTATATGGCCTTGTCTACATTTTTGAAATTACCACTACGAAGTTTCTTCCATTTAGATTTTGTGCCATTTTTTCCAGTGAGGTTAATAACTTGGTTTTATTTTTAATCCAGGTTGATAATGTGTTCTTTGGGACTCCATACTTTTTGGCAACCTCTTTGTTAGACATCTCTGTCTCTAGGTTTTTTAATGCCTTTCATTTTTCTATTATATATTTGTTTGTGAGTTTTCGTTTAACGAGCGGCATGTTGTTGCGTTTGACAAAAAGAATAAATTAATATATTAAAGCAAAACTTTTCAGAAATTTGATTCTTAAAAAAAATCGAATTAAAAAATTTTTTTTTTTGAAAATTGGAATTTAAAAAAAATTAAATTTTATTAAAACATTTTTGAAAAAAAAAATGTTGAAAAGTTCGAGATAACGAGAGAAAATTGCCCTGTGGACCGAAAATATTGTTCGAGATATTAAGGTTCAAGATATCGAGAGGATTTTAGCCTAAACTAGTACGTTATGTCCATGGGACCGCCAAAAAAGTTCAAGATATCAAGTATTCGAGACATCGAGAGTCAACTGTATATATATATATATATATATATATATATATATATATATATATATATATATATATATATATATATATATATATATATATATATATATATATATATATACATATATATATATATACATATATATATATATATACATATATATATATATAAATACACACATATATATATATATACATATATATATATATATATATATATATATATATATATATATATATATATATATACATATATATATATATATATATATGTATATATATATATATATATATATATATATATATATATATATATATATATATATATATATATATATATATATATATATATATATATATATATATATATATATATATATATGTAATAATACACTGTAACAGGTAGAATATGACACCATTTTTTACATAATTAAAGAATATAATCTGAAAAAAATTAACTCTTTTTATCAAACCAAAAAGTTTAAAAAAAAATTAACTATGTCAATATGAATTTTTATTTTTTCAAAACAACACACAGTTAACATCAAAAGTATTGAACATTGTGTAGACAAAATGACAAACATTGCTATAAAATAAATAAAGATATTGGCAATCTATTATAGCAATTAAAAATTACTTTTCAAAATTTTTTCCAGAATCTTCTTGAAAAAGCAGAAGATAGCAAAGCTGCAGCAGTCTCACTTATTCATTGCAAACTGTTACCAGTAAGTCTCACTTATTCAAACTATTACCAGTAAGTTTATGAGTTTTGTTTGTATTTTATAAAACATTAAAAAAAATTTAAATTAAATATAAAAACATTTGCTTTTTTCTCTTGTCTTTTCTAGCTTTTTGATATATTGGCTAAAAAAAATTGGGGAGATGAAGATATCAGGGAAGATATTGAATTCATCACTGAAAAACTAAATGCAAGTGTACAAGATCTTAGGTTTTTGAATTTATTTTTATGATAATCAAATTATTTAAAAGAAAAATTCTTTTATTTAAAGTAAAAAAGTCATGTATTTTAACATTTAAATAATTTAAAAATTTGTTTTTTTCAGATAAATAGTTATGTAGATTTTATGAGAGCATAAAATATTTAATTAGTTAATATTTAATTAGCAGTAAGCAATCTGTGATATTTAATTAGTAGTAAACAACTTATAATATTTAATTAGCATTAAACATCTTGTAATATTTAATTAGTAGTAAACAACTTGTAATATTTAATTAGTAGTAAACAACTTGTAATATTTAATTAGCAGTAAGCAACTTGTAATATTCAATTAGCATTTAATTAACAACTTGTAATATTTAATTAGCATTTAACTAACAACTTGTAATAGGAGTTATTAGTAAATAAATTAATGACAACTTGAAATTGTGAAAAAATCTTAATAATCTTGAATAACTTTTTAGTTCAACTTTTAGTAACAACTTTTGTTTTAGTTCAACTTTTAGTAACAACTTTTGTTTTAGTTCAACTTTTAGTAACAACTTTTGTTTTAGTTCAACTTTTAGTAACAACTTTTGTTTTAGTTCAACTTTTAGTAACAACTTTTGTTTTAGTTCAACTTTTAGTAACAACTTTTGTTTTAGTTCAACTTTTAGTAACAACTTTTGTTTTAGTTCAACTTTTAGTAACAACTTTTGTTTTAGTTCAACTTTTAGTAACAACTTTTGTTTTAGTTCAACTTTTAGTAACAACTTTTGTTTTAGTTCAACTTTTAGTAACAACTTTTGTTTTAGTTCAACTTTTAGTAACAACTTTGGTTTTAGTTCAACTTTTAAAAAATTATAATAATGCATATCAAATATATATTGCATACAACAAACAATAAATGTAATGTTTAAATTTGCATATACTTAAATGGATCGCAAACCTCTGAGACATGTTGTTTATCATATTAAATAGAAATATTTAAAAAAATGTTTAGGCTAAACTTTTTCGATTAAAACAAAAATATAAATGCATACCAAGAAAAATTAACTTTTTTATTTTAGTCAAAGCTTGTCTTCTCCATTTTGTTATAGGTCAAAAATCAGCATAATATTTGCTGCAATCTACAGACTTGATTCAAGTTTTGTAATCTACAGACTTCAAGTGCATTTTATTCCTAAGAGTTTAATTACATGATGTCATTTTGTTTGCGTAAAAGATCAATTAAGTAAATAAACAAAAAAGTTTTTAAAAGCTTTATGATTAACAGATAAACTAGTTGAGTCCTGTTAATACCGGGTTCAACTTGTTTTTCTGCCATATTCATCAAGGTTTGTGTTTTTCAGTTATAGAGTTGAGAGAGGGTTGTAACCACAATTAAGTAGCTTCCTCTGTCTGTAAAAAAATAAATAAAGAAAGAAAAGTAAAAGTTAATAATTATAAAAAAAAGCCCATCAACATCATCAACCAAAAAAGATGTTTTTTATATTCTATTTGAAATACTTCATGTACTTTTTATTGTACTCTTCTTTTTGTTTACTTTCAGCTATTTTACAACATTGTGATTAATAAATTTACTTTCAGCTAATTTACAACATCATGAATAATAAATTTACTTTCAGCTATTTTAAAATATCATGACTAATAAATTTACATTCAACTATTTTAAAATATCATGACTAATAAATTTACTTTCAGCTAATTTACAACATGAATAATAAGTTTACTTTCAACTATTTTAAAATATCATGACTAATAAATTTACTTTTAGTTATTTTACAACATCATGACTAATAAATTTACTTTCAACTATTTTAAAATATCATGACTAATAAATTTATTTTCAGCTAATTTACAACATCATGAATAATAAATTTACTTTCAGCTGTTTTACAACATCACGACTAATAAATTTAAGATTTTTATGAAACCTTATTTAAAGTTTTTACAACTAATATATTTACAATTATTAAAAATTATTTGTTAAAGAATTATAATTGTAATTTTAATAAATCACAAATCAAATTTTATCAAGTTTTTAATATAATTATTTATAATAGTCTTAAATTTAAATGATTTTATAGTTTTTTTATAAACTCAAACATTATCATTATTTAGTTTTCTTTGTCATTGCTTTATTAGTTTTCCTACATAGTTTTTTTTTAATAAATTTATATGATTTGAAATTTATTGTAATCATTAGTCAACAGTTAAAGAAAAACTGGAATTTTACACAATATTAAAATTAATTTTGCTTACTGGTAACATTAGAAAAACTGTTTTTATGGCTAATTATATTATATCTGGTGATGTCATTTTTGTCATTAATAATAAGTAATATTCATAACAAATTATTTAAGAAATCATAATTTGTTGTATATCTTTTGAATTTTTTTAACATGGCACTTCGAAAGTACTGCCTGTCTCTCTCTATTTAATGATTGTTTATTAAAAAAGACATTCAAAGAACCCTCTATGTTATTAAAAAACTCTTAAACATTTTATGATACCACAATTGGTTGTAATAAGTGATTATGATACCACAACTAATATGGAGTTCATGATTTTCAAATATGTTTCATGATTGTTAAAAATATGCAAATTTAAATTCATAATTGTCAAATATATGTTTCATGATTGTTAAAGGGATCCCAAACCCTCCGAAACATGAACCGATAAACGATGCTGCTGTGCGGAGAAACAAGATGAGGTAGTACTGCCAGGGATGTGGTGGGATGTGGTAAGTTTAGTGCTACCACACTAAATTTACACACCACTACTGCATTAAATTCACTTACTAAAGGGATTACTAAAGAAATTAAAGCTGTGTAATTTTGAAAAAAAAAGCAACCTAACCAATTGTAGCATTATTTTAGATACTAATTGTAGTAAAATTCATACTTAGTCTTAGTACTAAGTAATACAGCTTGGCTGGTAAGGATAACAATCTTACTCTACACATTGTCAAGTAACAATTTTAAAACATGGATATAAACATAAATATATATAACTCTAAAATACAAATAAAAGAAAAACTATAAACACATAAAGACATTATATAATATGTATAATAGGGTGGAACGTTTTATATAGGAAAAAAAAAGAAGCTGTTTGATCATATTCTAATAGTGATACTATGTTGTCTTAAGTCTAAACATAAAAATTGCCTATAAAAAGTTAAATAATCTTTAGCCCAAGCATGTGATTTAAAGTTTGGGGAATTTTTGAAAAAACATTATTTGGTTAAAAGTAAATATTTTATTAAGAAACAATTATATAATAATAGAAAATGAAGAAATAAAATATAGAATGCATAAACAATAAACGTAGTACTAAAATTTGGTACATTTTTGGTATTAATATACATTAATATATTGTAAAATAAAACCTAACTGATTATGTTTTGACCACAAAATCTTGTTTACTGTCAAATCAGGACACTTGGTCGTGCAGGTTTATGGGACATGCCGGATGGATCTACTATTAATGACAATGTTTACTTAAACATTTTTAAGAAAAAATTACTGAATTTTATGGCAATACATGGAACAAATGTATTTCAGCTTGATGGTGCTCCATGTCATGGCACAAAAGCTGTAAAAAATTGGCTAAGTCTGGTTTTGAGATTTTGGGTCCATGGCCAAACAACTCTCCTGGCTTGAACCCGATAGAGAACGTATGGTATACTATAAAAAAGAAAGTTTCAGAGAACAACCCCACATCACAAGCTGACCTTCTGGACAAAATCAAGCAAGCCTAGACAACAGAAATTACTGCAGATTATTGTCTTTCCCTTATTTATTCAATGCCGCATCGTATTTAAGCTGTGTTAAAAAGTCATGGTGGCCATACTAAATACTGAAAATATTGATTATGCTTTAATATGTTGGTACTATGAACTGTTTTAGTCTGCTAATGTTAGTGCTTTATTTGTAAAATCATTTTGTTTCAATTTATTGATGTTTTACCATAATGTTACTAATAAAACAATGATTTTTTGCTAATTTCAAGTGCGTTTCCAAACTTTTGTCCAAGACTGTATTTAACGTCTTGTCTTTTTGTCCATTAAAGTATAAAACAGGTAAATGAAGCTGCCTTTGTTTTGTTTGTGTAATTACATTTTTTTTTCCTTTCCTGCTGTACTTTTGATTTATCAACCACTTCAAGTAAGTTGAGCCTATCAGGCGAAGAAATATTGACTCACTTGAAGATGACACCAACTTTAGACTCACTTAAAGATGACACCAACTCCTGCTGTTCAGTATTACACTTCTCTTGAATTTTGTGAAAGTGTAAACTAGACTTGTTCGTTTTAGAGGCTCTTGTTAGCTTTTTTTGAAATTTAGTTGAAAAAATACAATCTATTCCACCAATTCGCATATTCTTTTCTTTTTTTTTTTGGTCAAGTAAAAACTTCTGCTCTTCTTTTGGTACCTTTTTTTCTCTTCGACAACAACAAAGTTGAATTTGTTTACATTTACATGAACAAAAAGGTCAAATAGAACTCTGCTATGCTGTATAGAATCAATTTTTTGATCAGCAGATAATCTTTTTAAAGGTTTGACGAGGTTTTTGCACTTTAAATGATAAGCCTTTAGCTGAATTACTGATAGCTGAATTACTCTAGTGTGTGAAACTGTAGGAAGGGACTATTTCTCTAAACATCTTCTACTTTTTTATACACAAGCTCGGCAATATCTAAAAATGATGGTTCTTTTATAGTATTTCTTCTAATTTTAAGTTGTAATCTATTTCATTCATAATATTTCATGACATCTTCGAAGGTAGGCAATCCACTGTCTTTAATATCTTGTACTCTCCCAAATATAGGGCACTGATAACTTTGTCTTCTAGTTTGCATAATGATTTATTAGTTAGTGTAGAGAAAATTATGTAACAAATGTAAATGCACACACAACTGTATTCTTATAATATTTTTGTCGCATTCAAACCTAAGTAAACAATTACGCTATAAGATGACTCAATACGTGCCCATCCACTTTTAAATACCCTCTTAAAGAAATAAAAACAAAACTATTTATTTTGTGCAGACAATGCTGAACCATGCCCAAAAGGATGTTGTTTTTGTTCTGCCCTCCACAACCATCGCTAAATAATTCAGCATGTGGTGCTTGCCTAGAACCGCCAAAATTAACAAAGACCTTACTAAGTAATTGGTATATCACACTTGCTTTTTCATTTGAACCGCGCGCTGCTTCACTCTCAATCCATGTATAACAATAATTTTTTTCCTTACAAAGGAAAGCTTCCTGAACAGGTACCTTAGGCAGAACCTGTACCTGCTGCAGATTGTATACAATCTTGTATGTGTCTTCATCAGAGTTCTTTAGTAAATGGTAAAATGCAGCACGCTTCTGCAAGTCAAATTTCCTTTGCAGTTTAAGTTTAGCTACAACCTAGGCTTTTGACTCATGCATAATCAAATTTTTCAATTTTTTGCAATTGGTACATCAGGTTTCTTTCGATTGCTTAATAAGGAAACAAATATTTTTTCATTTATCAAAGAGTATAATATAATTTTATTTACATACTCATGTCTTATTTCCAGTGCTAGATTAAGGAGGGTTGGGGTTAGAGGGGGCTATAGCCCCGGGCCCCGCATTATTAGGGGCTTCGAAAAACTCAAGAAAACCATAATTTTTTTGTCATTTTAACACAGTGGCACATAAAAAGAAAAATAGCCCCCAGCCCCAAAAAGTCTAACAAGATTCTAATAAAACTAAGGCTAGTTTTAGTTTTATTTAAGCTAAATTATTTTATAAATAAAAAAGTTAATTTTTTTATTAGCTATTTTATGCTTTGCGTAGTTTGAAAAGTTTTACATATTTGGAACAATTCTTCTAAGTGAGATGAACAAATAAAATAATTCAATGAGTTATTGTAAAAATTAAATTAACTAGATAGTAATCAACTAAATACTTCATGATGAGGAAGCGAAACAATATTGCTGCTAATGTTTAGTGAGAGGGCTTTTTAAATTTTAATTAGTATTTAAAACAGAAAAATGTATACCGAGTTTGTAAGAATGGCAACTGAAGCGAAAATAATTAGAATTAGTAAACCAATATCTAAAAACTTTTCTTTATATCTAATAACTTTCTATATATATATTTGTGTTCTGTTATGACCTCAGGCACGGTGCTTGTCTATTTGCGGGTCACTTTATATGCAGTAATAGTAACAAGAAACTTCTTCTATGTTTGTTTCATAATTAGTTTTATTAACTTTGATGGTTATTAATAACTTCATTGAAAACGCAGTTATTGTTGAAAGTCTATGTTTAGAAAATAAATTGTAAAAATTGCTTTAAAAGATTACATTAGAATAAAAAACAGATACACAATATTACATTTAAAACTTACTTCAATAGGTGTAACTATAAATCATCATTTAAATCAAATTATGCACTTCGTTCATAAGATGCAAAGCAGTTAAAACCAAAAAATACATACTTTTAAAATAAAAAAATAAGATTATACTAATAAAATCTACAATTTATAATAAACTTTCGAAATTTTGACAGTTTAAAAAAAAAATATTATAAAACATTTATTTTTTTAAACAAATAATAGTTTAAAAGATTTATGGCTCCGAGAATGAATCATAATATTAAAGTTCGTTTGACATTTTTAAAACAATTGCTAGAGATCTCAAAACTTAACAAATCTTGAATAGTACAATTTTTAAAACATTTCAACAAAAAACTTTAGAACTTTATTTCACTTAGTCAGCATATTATTTGAACCAATTTAATTAGTTTGTTCGTAAATTTGGCGGGTTTTTAGTGTTTGCAAATATTCTTTTTATTCTTTCGCACCAAGATGTTTTGAGAACATTCAAGTATGTTTCCATGTATGTCCGTAAAAAAAAAGTTTTTGTTTTGCAGATATATACATAAACATAAATGTTCTCAAAAGGACTAAAAAATCTGGCTAGTTTTTCACAACTATATATTATTTCTGTGGTCAGATTCGAGAGCGATCGCTCCCGCTTCCAACCAAGCCTGATACATGCATCTGTTTGCAGACCACTAAAACCAATGTTAAACTCAGAGAAAAAAAATTTCGTAAAACATATGCAAGACTGATATGAGACTTTGTGTTCTTCATTACAGTTATCATTACATCTTCCACAAGTTTTTACAAATTTTTAATTCAGACGGCAGATTTTTGCTTTCACCATAATAACTTTCTTTGCCTCTTAAAATGCGGATAAATGTTTTTACAGTATCCTTTTTTGCAACAGATTTGTGAGATATTCCGTTGCCACCTAAATTTCACCTTTGGCAGGCCACCACTACTATGTGAATGTTTAAGTTCTCCCACAAACCAATTCTTTTTGATAGGTGCAATTCCATGTAAGAAAGTTGTACGACATTTTTCTCTTCTTGCCAGTTGACTTTTCTTTAATGAAATAATTGCAAGCAATTGGACAACTGAATTTTCTTGTAGAAGTATTACGTATTCAACTTGGCTTTGTAACGTGCACTTGCTTAATCAGTACGGTGTCTTGATCAGTCTTGACAGCTGTCTTAAATAGGCAACTTTGAGACTGCTGTACAACCTCTGCTGTAAGTTTATAACACTTTTATGCTAAACCTTATTTGTGTTTGCAGGTAGCCCTCCAGTCTACATTTTCAGACAAACCACTGTGTATCTGAAACAAAACATATAAACATTGTTGAGAGATATTATTGAAGGAAGAACGGAAATTAAGAGAGTGGAGGTGGGGAGAGAAAAGGTATTTTGAAAAACTTAATGAAGCAATGAGTAAGAGAATATGAAAAAAGGTGCAAAAAACAGATAAGTGTGAAAGAAGGGATGCTGTGAACCTACTGACACGTAGAGTCCATTTTTTACATCACATTAAAGAGTCACAGTTAGATCTAGAATTTAGAAGGTGCGTAGCACCGATAAAACTTCCTTTTTTTTTTGTGCAACTGATTGCTTTGTTTGAATAATTTTTCGTTTTCTACAATTGTGACTACATTCTCCAACAAATTCTAAATCATCTACTTGTCCATACAAATCATAACTTGTCCATGTAATTACAGTAAGATAGAACCCACTTTTGTTCAAAAGTCGTTTATAAGCCAATGACAATCATTGTCTAATATACACAGTATACATAGTCTTGTTTTAGGTAAACATTGGATTTGTCTTGTTTTGTATATGTAACATTATTGATTTAATATTTGTTAAATAACATACCAAGCAATACATGTTTATCAAATTTAAAAAATAAAAATTAAACAACTTGTTTTTGAACACACTTTTATTACAATGTGTTATAGACAAATATAGGGTATGTGTTCAGTTTAGAAAATTCTAGTAACTATATAAAAATAACATAAGACGATGGTAAACAGTAAATGGTAAATTGTAAGAATGATATTAGTTTAAACAACTTTTAATGTTAAAACTAAAAGAGCTTTTATTCAAAATATACTATTTTCATCTATTTACTGAGATGGAAATTTTTGTAAAAATTTTATAGTTTTATCTAATATTAATATTGCTCCATTACCTTTTTACCTTGTTTACTTTGCTGCACAGTATATAATTGTGTTTTAAAAAATAACTCTTTAATTTGTCTTTATTACCATTAACTTGTCCATTACCATCTGTGAGATTTTGTACATAAGAAAATAAATCAACGCATTTGAATGTTTCAATAAACATGTATATAAATGTTTCTTTGAGCATACAGTTATTTTTTGAATAATATAATATTGTTTAAAAATATAAAAATTCATAAAAAGAAATATATTAAAATTGATTTAAAAAAATTATGAAAAAAAATTCATCAGTATATCGATGATTCAAAATGTTTAATTTATTATTTAAAATTTTTAATACTAAAATAGTTGTTAATAAGAAAATTTAAAATTATTTTTATTATATTGTTTTTATAGTACTTGGGATGAGTATGTAGCTGAAGTAAAATCTGGAAGACTGGAGTGGAGTCCAGTTCATCGTCAAGAAAAGTTTTGGGTAATTTAAAAAATATATATTATTTTATGATTTTTTAATTAGATCATAAATATTGTTTTATTTTTTTGAGTTATCCCCTGGTGAGAAAAATTTGGCACAATCTTTGAGAAGCTAAAACTTATTGAATTTTTAGTTATTTAGTCTTACTTTTTTAGTTGTTTTGTTTATAAAGTGTTAGTTATCTTTTGCTGAAAGTTTTGTTTACTTAAATTAATTAATAAAAAAGTTATCAAAAAATGAAGCCGACTACATTAATTGAACAAGTGTACAACTATTGTAACTTACATCCTAACGCTAAAACGAAGAGCATCGTAGAGTATTTTGTTGTCTCTAATCACCCCAAAAAAACCATCAAACCTTATATGGCAGAGTGAAAGTACAATTAACCAAAGTCTTGTAAGCCTGGATCAGGCAGAAAACCAAAAACTATGACTGCTAGGAACATCAATCGCCTGAAAGCGCTTTTGAACAACCGGTCTGGAACTTCAACAATAAAAATTGCAAATAAATTCAAGTGTGATCATTCCTACATAGTAAAAACATTAAAAAACAAAACAAACATTTGTTATTTTGAGAAAAAACAAATCCCTGATCGCACTGATAAGCAGTTAAATCATTTGCAGCTGAAGCGTGGAAAAATTTGTCCCAAATTCTGAAACCATGACTTTGTCAATG